TTAATAACCACATCCCTTTTGGAAAATTATTGTCCGTGATTTCCAGGGTTGCTTGCACCCACCACCCTCCCAGTCAATTCCTGTGTCTCGATGAGAGCAGCACATACACCACTCAGTTCAGCTTTCTTTCTTTCTTTCTTTCTTTCTTTCTTTCTTTCTTTCTTTCTTTCTTTCTTTCTTTCTTTCTTTCTTTCTTTCTTTCTTTCCTTCCATGTATAAGCAGTCAATCAATCAGCATAGAACTTTCCAGAGCCAATACTGTGGGTAATTAGCATGGACAATCTCAAAGGAAGTGGCCTTTGGTTGATCTAGCTTTAACCCTTTAGCAGCAGAATAGAGATGGAAAACAGGACACCAGGTGATTCTTCCTTTATTCTGCACCATTAAAGAAACAATTTGGTGGATGGAGATACTATATCCAACAATTCCCTCCCCACTATAAATAGCAAATGAGAGAAAGTGAAAGAAAGTACTGAAAACATTGGGTGTGCATATTTCCTTAAAGACTGGTTATAAAATCTAGCAAATTTAAAACATGTTCTCCTATAAGGAAAACAAAAATAATGTAGTGTTTCAATAATTTTGGTAGTGTTGTATGCAGATTCCATTTAAAACTGACAAACTGATCCATTAGTCTGCATTTGAGACTAAAAAAGATGCTAAACTGTGAGAAAGCTGTCAAAGTTACTTCACTCTCAGGCACACCTTTATTTTTCATAATATGTGAAAAATGGACTCAAAAGTTGGAATCCAAAGTTCAGGCAAACAAAAGAATTCAAAACTTTAAGATCTGATTTCAAATTCATATGTATGCATGAACACCCATTGTAGTCCAGAATAACTGTATTATAAGAAATTAATAGTTGGGTAATTGTTGGATGACATGCATACGTTTATTGTAATAAAACAAAGTTTAAGGGAACTGAATGGCTGAGCCGAAAAAAGCTGTATTTAAATTTATTTGAAACCTCTGTGCCATTTTACCTGTGATGCCTCGTTTACATAAGCAAATTATCACTTGATAGTAACAATCATCATATAATGAATAAGCATGAGCTGAATTTTAAGCCTTGTACTCATTCTAAAGAAAAAAAATAACAGTTGGCTTTATGCCTTACAATGTCTTTTCTCTAATGATATTGTGGTGCAAACGTCCCATCCCATTATTTCTTTTCTCCTATGGCTTTTTTCTGCACTATTTAAGCTGTAATTTCACTGAGAGCAGAAATGGATTCTAGGGTATATTAGAGCTGCATTCACTCAGACAAATGCATTCTAAACTGATCATTTGACTAGAAATATCCAACTGGCAGCCATATTAAAATAGGGATTGCACATTCTAATGCTGCATCTCCCCCTTCAGTTTTGCATGTCATGCAGATTTTCAGCTCTGTGTGTTCATGTGTCTGTAACCCTAATATGATTGTGCAAGACTGCAGACCCACTATAGAGATGTTGCATGTGAAAGTTCTCTGTAGCGAGTAAGATAAAAGGTTGCTGTTGAAAAGGCTACTATCAGTTTAAATAAATACAATAGCAAATCATCCAGATTGCATAATCCTGTCTTTCAGGACTTCATAATCAAGCCTGTGTGGCAAGGATTTTGAAAGCAGGAATTAATATTTCATTATTACTGGAGATTTTTTTTTCTAACAGTAGGACTTTAAAATTCAAATAACACAATACCAACTTCGTCTTGATTTACAGGAAGAAGCAGAAGTTAATTCTACTTTATCTTTTTCACAGTGTTTTGGAGTGAAGCCAATATCTGACAATTTTTAGAGAAATATTTTGCCACGCAAGTAGAGATGGCTAAAGATTTAGAGTCTAAGGCAAAGCTTCAAAATTATACATGCACACTACAAAAAGGAAGGCAGGAATAGACTAAAGTGATTATGATATTGAATCAGTAGAGCTTAAACTGGTTTTCACTAACCTTTCACACTGATTTTACTGCAGTCAGAGTATTATTAACTTACTATGGATTCAGCTGTGTTTAATAACCACATTCCTGCTAAGAAGATGAGTTATAAATGATTTCCTTGTGGTCTTTAATCCACACAGTGCTTAGAACCAGGATTCCTTAGCTTCAGCAGCTGAACCATATCATTTTTCTCCAGGCTGTGCCTTAAATGTGGTAAACATACAGGTTGGAATAATGTCATGTTTTATTTATGAGCATTTAAAGGCCAGATTGGTTGCTGTTAAAAGTTAATGTTGGATTAAATAGAACCAAATGTATGTAAAAGAGCAGTAGGGAGGGGCTGGGGGAAGTATAGGTAGATTAGTGGGCAGTACTATAGGCAGACTTTAGAGGATACAACTGATAATATCTATCAGGAGCGATGCTTGACTATCAGAGAGAAAACACATTTGTCTCTTCTGCGCTACAGTATTTGAGTGACTTGTGGACACATTTTAACAACCTCTCCCCAGTTATAAACTCTATTTGTGTTAGATAATGTGATTTCATTTCATATATGCCTTGCAAATAAAACATTTATGCAAGGCCCTGAGTAGAATACTGATGATTTAATTCATGTTTATATGAATAGGTGTGTATGCAACATAGACTGTAGCGGCTACAGTTTTAACCCTGTTTGTGCATCTGATGGAAGTTCCTATAATAACCCATGCTTTGTTCGAGAGGCATCTTGCCTGAGACAGGAACAGATCGATATCAGACACCTTGGACATTGCTCAGGTACCTTTAACTTTACTTTTCAATAGTGATTATGTTCACTGGATGATTGACTAGAGGTAATGTTGTTAATGTCAGAGATAGGGCTTTCTTTGTGGTTCTGCTTCCATAGAAGCATAGAAAATATGTAAAATGTTGGGTTTCATAGAGAATTAAAATGCCGGAAAGACTTTGCTTTCATTGAAAAACATGTACCCAAATATATTTCTAGACTTTTCTTCTTGGTTGGGTTTTCTTCTTTTTTTTTTAATCTTAAATGAAATATAAAAAGTTATATTTGAAGGGCTTGTGATCTGTGAAACAGAATAAACTGCATAACTAGTAAAAAAGTAGATTATGTGTTCTACAAAGGAAAGAAAATAACATATTTTTTTCAAGTAATTTTATTAAAGATTATAATTACAATAGTAAAAACTAATACAAACTGAGAGAGAGATGGAAAAATAGAAAGAAAGAGTAAAAGATGCAAAGGGGAAAAATAGTAAAGACATAAGGATTAGAAAGAAAAAAGAAAAGAAAAAGTATATAGTAAAGAAAAAGAAAAAAAATATCTAAAGAAGTAACACCCAACCTTCTTCACAAGTATAAACAATTTTAGTAATTTTTCACCTCCTTGTAAATAACAACAAATTATCTCTTCTACCCATATCCCATCTCTTATTTATAAACACATCCATAAAGCATTGTCATTTCAGTCCTTGTGTCAGCAAAAGTCCATTAAGGGTTACCAGAAATAACAAGTTATCTATTTTGACTTTGATCAAATAAATCAACTTTATATACATTCCTTTTACTTCTAACAATCCTAATCTTTAGTCCATTCAAATAATGTCACAGAACATGATTTCTTTTAATTTCTTCTTTGTCCCTTCTCATGAGATTTTTCAAAGCTTTGACAAGTCCCTTTTGTAAATCCAATACAGAAACATTATCCAGGTCACTTTCTTAGTTTATTGCTTGTATGTCCCTTTTAATTATTAAAATATCAGCCAGTTTCTTTTGTATGTCCAGTGTAACATCTTTTCCATGTCATTCCTGTAGCCTGTCATTTGTAAATTCACTTTCAACTCAGTCTCTGTCAAGTTCATTCTTCATCACTATGGTGTTCAGTCCACCATTTCTTCCTCTAGAAGTCCTAAACCTGAAAGAAAATAATATGTACATGATGAATATTTATGAAAAGTATTACAATTCAATTGTCTTGGCCTGAAACTGTGATCAATTTAAGTGCTGTTCAGTTAATATTCAAGGCCAGAAATGGTCAGGACTTCTCACATTTTATGTTCTAATTTCACTAGTGTGTCTTTGGTTGACTTTTGATACAAGAAATTCACATTCACTGGTCGTAGCCTATAGCTTTCTCCTTTGGAGACTGACATAGGGACATCCTATTATTTGAAGCATTGCGCCTGTCTCATTGGATATTGTTTGCAACATTGTTCATATTGGAAGTAATATTGCCATTATGTGAGCTCTGATGTATTTATTTATTTTAAAGAATTCTTCAATATAAGCGTCAGCACATTTGCCTTTCAATAGCTTCAAAGATGGCAAGGCTATTCCTCCCTTTTCCCTTCCCCTCTGCCATACCATGTCTTGGTGATTCATTGCTTAAAGGAATATTCAAGGATTAAATGCTGTTGGGCACACTTCAGTGCCAACATGAACATGCTCTGTTTTTCACAATTAACTACATTTACTATTAAAATGGCTTACATGTGCTGGTAATGAATGGAGGTTATCTGATGCATTCCTCACTGCTATCAGATGCGGCCAAAAGTTTAATCCTTTATGAAAACCAGACACAAAAACAGCACTGCAGACAGAAACTTTGGATGTTACAGATGATCTTGGATAGTTTATTCATTCAGTTGGTTATATTCAAATGAAAGACAATGATTTTCATATTTCTGGCATCAGGATATACCCTATATTAGAAGTCCCTGCTCATATTTCAGGTTACATTTATTAAATATACATATGTGATTCTGCTGAAAATGAGTAATTTACTGACAGTATAGGAAAAAACCAAATATCTCAATATATTGGCAAAAAACATACACATAATTTTGATTTAATAATTTTTCAATTAAACCACAATATTTTTCATATTTGTTCTTCACCCACATTCACACGTATTCACACGTATTCATATAAATTTTGTTCCTAGGCCGGTTAGAACAGTTGAAGTTTGAAGTTGAGATGCATATTTTCTGATTGATCATAACCAAAGCAAATTTCTATGTTTGCTGGTTTCTAGGGATGGGCAGAAAGTTCTGCTCACAGAACACCTAGTTTCTGGTGTTTTGTGTCCAGATAAGAACAGGAGAGAAACCACTAGGAAGATCATATGGGCCAGTATGTCAACCACCAATTGCGCTGTCCTTGATTTCAAGCATTCTATGTCTAATTGGCCCATGTACCTCTGATTTTCCCTTTCTCTACTTCCTCATATGCCATACTGGAGGTCCATAGTGTTGTCAATTTGGGGGGGGGAGGGGCTTTGAGTCAGTGTTGACTCCTGGAGTCTACCTGGACAAGCCCCTGCAGTTTTCTTGGCAAGATTTCAGAAGTGATTTGCCATTGCCTGCTTCCTAGGGCTGAGAGAGAGTGACTGACCCAACGTCGCTCAGCTGGCTTCATGCCTAAGGTGGGACTAGAAATCACAGTCTCCCAGTTTCTAGCCTGATGCCTTAACTACTACACTACACTACACTACACTACACTACACTACACTACACTACACTACACTACACTCTCATGATTACACTTTAAGGGTGGCATATCATGCCTAAATGTTGCTACATGTTTCACTGCTACACTGTGGTGGGAAAATAGGAAAGTATGAAATCTGTGCTGTTTTTACTGTTTTTTCCAACTTCTGCTAAAATTAAACCTTAATAGATTGGAACAGTAAAAGCAGTCCTGGATAATATAATTGTTTTAGCCATGTGAGAGGAATGTAGTGCATGTCATCTTCTATTTTACTGTTTCCTTTGGTACTTTTTTCTCTTCCTCCCAATAGACTCCGATGACTCCAGCTTATTGGGGAAGAAGGATGATGGAATGCAGTATCGGCCAGATGTGAAAGGTAGGGTGCAAATACTCAGGTGTCTGTCTCTTCACAACATGGCCGAGATGGCAGGATGCACTGGCAGTCTGTCCAAGCCTAGGGAGAGCAGACCAGAAAACCAACTCCACAGGAAGACCAAAACTACCCTTGTCTGAGATTAGCTATCGTAACTGAATCTTGCAGGTCTGATTGCGCTGTACCTCCTCCTCCTCCTCCTCCTCCTTATACTCCAGTGAGTCAGGGAGGCACTGGGCTGAGCGGCTTCTGAATACAATCTTGTTTCCCAGGACTTAAAGAATGCTTCAGCCCCCTTTGCCTGGGTAACAATTCTTCCATATTTCTGTCATGGTCACCTCTCCTACTCTCTATCCCTGATGCCCTTCAGCTGCTTTGAGACTTCTTAACTCCCACAATTGCCAGCCAGCAAGACTGAGGGCAGCGAAAGGCCAAGCTAAGAAACCATGTAGGGGATGCTGCTTTTGGGAAGACTGGGATAGGGAGAAGGGCAGCATTTTTATCTACCATTTTAAGTACCATTATGCATACTTAATATGCATAATGAATTAAAAGATTACTAATTATATGCTATATAAATCATAGTGTAACTAATACTGTAATGCTATACAGTAGTGCAATGTAATGCTATAGTGTAATACTATATACTAAATTAGGGTTGGCAAACTTTTTCTGTAAAGGGCCAGATTCCATCCCTCCTCTGCTTATGTGGGCGTGGCTAGCAGGTCTGCAGGCTAAGAAGTGTGGCAGCCATTGTATATCCCCAGCCCATCAGCAGGGAGGCTGCTGATTGGCCACTACCACTGCCTAGGACACCCTGCCCCTCAGCCCCCCCCCCCCCTGAGAACTCAGCTGAGGCTCATGCCTGGCAATCTGTTGCTAGCCCACCCATGCATTCTTAGTTTGTGGGCTGTACGAAAACAGATGGCAGGCTGGATTTGGCCCAGGCTGTAGTTTGCTGACCCCTGTACTAAATTATACTATAGTATACTGTATATTAGTTTATATAACTATATATTAGTATGTATATATATTAATTACTCTATTAATATGATTACATACTGGGTGTCTTTGGGCCAGTCTTTCCCACTCAGCCCAACCTATCTCACTGGGTAGCTGTTGTTGGGAAAAAATGAAGGAAGGAAGAATATATATGCCACTTTGACTTGGAATGAAAGGCAGGATATAAATCACATAAGGATGGCTAATTCTAATCAAAGGCATGTCTGGCATTCTTCTTTAGATATATATGGAGTAATATTTCCTTGCTCCAGAAAATATTTAGTGTGGTGGGGTTTTAATACTTTAATTTTGTTCAATAAAAATTACGATAAAAGAAGTGTTAAAATAACTTGCTGTCCCCAATTTATTTCAAAGGAATCCATTTTTGCTCAAACACAATTTTACAAGCACTCTGTTGGCCTTGGCAGTTCTGCACCATGCACAGTAATGCACTTTGAATAATGAAGCCATTTTTATTTATTCAAGAAAATTTAGCATATCAATGGTTTCAAATGAACTGATCTTGTACTTCTTTTGCTTTTTCCCCCATAACAAGTCTGAGAATAGAGTTATGATGTGCCTAAGCCCTATGTGTATTTCTTCTATTAACGCTAAACACAATCCTGCTATTAAAGACTGGAAAGGAAGCTTTCATATATTGTTCTGAGCAATGGCTGACTCCAACAAAATAGATTTCCTCTATTCTGCACTTCAGTTTTAAAGGTGACTTTTAAAGCTGGAGAAAATGTGGAAAAGAAGCTATTTCGACAGAAAAGCAATTTCCTCCTCCTGTCACATTCTCTTCTCACCCTTTTATTGTTTATTGGAAAAACTGTGCTAGAAGAAAAGAGAAAAACTTGGAAGTTGTGAAATTTTTCTTGGGACATAGAGTGGATTTTTAAGAGGATTCATAATAGCAGCTTATTTTTTGCATTAATCAAATCACTATTAACTCTTTGAACATGCACCAGGAATATTAGCCTGTATTTAATCTTTTGATACATGGTTACTTTCCATAAGTATATCAAAATTGGAAAATTAATCTGAAGGGTAGCTTATCTGTGCTAGGTTTTAAAATCTGCTGAGGAGGTTCCCCTTGGTGTATAAACTGTATATTTTATCAGTTTTGGCATCTTGACTGTGGCTTGTTTGCTCCACTGAATTGCTTTTTTAAATGTTTATGTTTACATTTCATAATGTTGTGATTATATTAATATGTTTAAGATTAAATGATTGTTTTTAAATCTTCTTTGTGCTGCCTACTGTTTAACTGATGAAGACTGTTTAAATATCTTTTTAAAAAACAAATAGTATTCATATGAATAATTTCATAACGGCAGCAACAGGTGATAACTTGGAGATGTGAAGAGACTGTCATGAAGACTGACAGTCTTGCATAAATTACTGTTTACATCATCAACATATTTTGGGGTGAGTTTGCACATTCAAAAGCCAGGGATCAAGTAGAGTAGATTCCATCCAGTCTGCTGCTTTCTAGATGGCTTGGGTGCAGTTCTCATGACATGCTACTACCAGTGTAGCATATCTGGAAGGCAGCAGGTTGGAGAAGTTTGGTACAGAGTAATCAGAAGTACAGGTGAATGTGTTCTTAATTATACAGTATGTATCTTTACCAGTTAAACCATGATCTCTTGGAGAGTAAAAACTGGCTTGTAGACTGTGAGATGTGTATGTGGTGGTAAAAAACATCAAGATGGCAACTATGACCACAATGCATGTAAAAAAGGGGGCAGAGCTTTGACCATGCTGTCATGACCACCGTCTTGATTTTTTTGACCTTGCTTGCAGAAATCATGGCTTCTCCATCTGCTCTTCCCTATTTCACATAAACCCTCCTGTAGTGGAAAGAATAAAATCATTCAGTTTTTCTGAAATTTGCAAATCCTTGCTTCTAATCTATCTTGTTTTTTTAATATTTGCACTGTTTAAGCTGAAAGATTTACATCTTAACAATATGTTTCGTATGCTGATCCAAAACAGGCTGCCCCTTCAGGCACAGAAACAGACCAAAACTGCTGTGGTTTATTTTGTTGAACCTGACACTCTGTCTTTGAACTTGAAGCTTTATTTCAGAGCCTTTTTTGATTGATTGATTGATTGATTGATTGACTGCTTATGTGCCATCAAGTCAGAGTTGGCACTTAGACCACATAGATAGATTTTCTCCAGGAAGATCCGTTCCCAACCTGGTTCTTCAAGTCTTCCAAAAAATTCACCCATCACCACCATAATTGAGTCCATCACCTTTCTGCTGGTCTACCTCTTTAAAAGCAAGAGGGATTGGGCTGGCTGGCTGGCTGGCTGGCTGGCTGGCTGGCTGGCTGGCTGGCTGGCTGGCTTTCTTTCTTTCTTTCTTTCTTTCTTTCTTTCTTTCTTCTCCCTGCTAATTAAATGTTTATCAAAGCCATAAAGACACTTTCCTCATTTCCCCTCAAGCTCTCATGGAGCTATCTCTATGGAATTGGTCCATATGATGGGGAAAAAAACCAAGCAAACTGAATCTATATACGATCAATTAAAATAGGATAAAAATGGCACAAAAGAGTACAATATCTTTGGAGTTCTCAAGAACTCTTTATTAAGCAAGGTGTTACCAAAAATAGGTTATGGAGAAGAAAAGGTCCAAAAAATCAGGACAAGTGTTTCAGACATGTTAAAGTCAGATGAAGTTTGAAGTCTGGATATAGTGGACAGTGGTGCAATCAGTGACTAAAAGATGACTCTGCTCTCACTCCAGTTTTAAAAATACTAAGACTGTCCATTTGTCAAGTTGCTTTCATTCTGAATAAAAATTAATATTGTGGTAATCTTTTCTCTATTTGAAACTGTCCTATGACTGAAGTGATATACTTCTTATCAAGGCAATGAAATGTATTTTCTGCATGGATAAATAAATGAAATATTATTTTCAAATAATGAGGTTTGTAAATATTTATTTAGATCTATAATCCTTTGAACATTCTCAATATTTATAGTAATCAACCCAATTTGATCCATCAATGCAATTCAGCATATTTTTATTTAGATCTAGTTTTAAGCATTTACAGTAAATAAATGATTTATCTTTGTTATTTAATATGGATACTAGTTGTTTTCATCATTGGATTTAACATTATTAGATTTTAAAACTAATATTATCACCTAAAAAGTGTAAATGTTCATTCAAGACGTTGAGATCAAAGATGTGCTAAAATTCAAATGAATATACTGAACTTTCAAAATGCCTTAATTGCATTTGATATTTCTTGCCTACTTTAGAATTATCCTGTCTTTCTATATTTTAGGAATATTTAAATTAAATCAAAACATATATGATAATATTTATGTCATTTTTTTCTAAATTAGTTGACTTAGTTGAAAACCAAAAAAATATCTGTTTTAAATATTACTAAAATAGCAGGTGGGGTGACAATTTTATTGTGGAGATGCCGTATTGTTTATATGGTCCTGAGAAAGTACCCACAGATTAGATTTACAGTATTAAGTAGAGGGATGATCTCTTCAAAAAATATATTTGTAAAACAATATGGTACTCTTTCTTGTATTTTTGTTTCATACAAAAGATGCAAATGATCAAAGAGAAGACATCTATATTGGAAATCATATTCCTTGCTCCGATAGTTTTAGTGGCTACTGCATCCATGGGAAATGTGAATTCATTTATTCAACACAGAAAGCTTCCTGCCGGTAAGTCAATTAGACCAATAAAAGCACCATCTGGAAATCTACAGTTCTGTTATAATATTAAGTATGGTCCTGGAGGCAATAGCCATAGATAGTTTGATAGGAGGTTCTCCTCTCTCCTGTCCAGATGGGTTTTAGGCAAATCCAATGTTTTGTTTTTGTTAAACTACCATTTTTAATTTCTATTATGCTACTATTTTCTAAATATGGATTGCTAGACTTACCTCTGTTTTACTCCTGCCTGCCCATGTAAACAGAGTAGATTCTTTATAAAATTGTTGGAACAAAACTAAAGAAAGGAGGTAACAGGGAAAAAAAGGTAGGTTTCATTTTGTAGGAGTGCCAGTTTCTCTCTGTTTGTGGGGCCATTGACAAGTGGTCACCACAGCTTTCTCTTCCCCCTTCCCCCCAACTCATGCACAAGGATGCATGAACAACCTGATGCTTGCACTAAAGTTGAGTGGGCTCTTTCTTTCTGAAATCACCAAGGGCTGACTGATGGCAGCTTTCTGTCAATTACTGCTCTCTTTCCCAAGGCAATCTCTGGGGGGACAGAGATCAAAGAGGAAGTGGCAGAAGATCTATTATTCAGTGAAATTATATATTATAAATGATATAGACATAGATATAGGCATAGGGATGAATCCCTAGAACTCTTACCAGTTTATTATATAATAATAATAATAATAATAATAATAATAATAATAATAATAATAATAAACTGTAAAAAATAGACAAGAAAGTCCTCTAGTAACAGCACTTCCTATTATCCTTTTCAGCCAGCCTGCTTAAACCCAGCAAAAATAAGCCTATTAGTTTTTTTCCCTATCTTCTTTGAATCGCTCTATGGCTTTTATCCCCTTCCCCATGGGCAGCAGGAGAGCAGGTGGCAAAAGGTTGGGGTACAAAGAGAATAAATATGGACAGCGCTCACCTTGATTTGATTTGCTGCAGTTCAAGCAGGGTTACTTGCATGAGTGTTCCCCTCCACCACCCTGGTTCACATACTTCTCCCCACTCCAATTAGGAGCCAGAAGTGCATATGCATTTCTGTATGCCTTTCCAACCTTCTCTTTGCCTGGGGAAACTTCAGTACAATTGCAGTTGATACGGTTAGATGGCATAAAGAGATGATAAAAGATGGTGCTGAAATGTTCTGGAGAGGATAAAGATATCAGTTGAAGGCTTTGGCTCATTTCTCTGGCATAAATAGGCATGGATTGCACTTTTTTTTTTTTAAGGAAAGGAAGGGGGAAATCCTTGTGGCTGTTGTATTCATATTAGAATAAATGTCATTGCACTTTTTATTGACCAGCCTTGAATTAAAGTTGCAACTATGCCTGCAAGAGTTTTAAAAGCAACTGTGATTCTGTATTTGGATTAACCTGTGCTTAGAATGCTCCAATTAAATTATCAAGATGTAAACGTTCTACTTGGAGAGGTAGAAATAGTCATGCTGATTTAACAGTAATTTCTTCCCAAGAAACCGAGAACTGAGCAAATGCACACAGGCATCCACATACACTCACCTAGAGGACGATTGTTAGGATGAAAAAAAGGCATTAAGGGAGAAGAAAGAAATAAGTCTGTCTACCATAAGTATATAAATACTGTGATCATAGATACACTGTAAAAATAGTTGTTTCTAATCTTCTGCACTTTATTAGTACAGAGTATGCTCTTACTTTGTCTTCTGTAGACAATTTAAATTTTATAAATCTCTGTACAATCTATACATTTCTATAAATCTTGGTGGAGGTTATCTTACGCTTTTTTCATGAGTATAAAGGCTCATGGCTGAATCTTTCTCACTTGTATGGTGCAATCCGCAAAATAATCTGAATGTTGAAGATGCTCTTGCTTTAATCTTTTTATTTATTTTTTAAATTTGGTCTGAAAGCACAAATCTTTTTATTAGGTCGAATCTCAGAAAACATACTTGATATACAGTATGTCACAATTTACTAAAGTATGTGCTGAGAGTTGCAAGAATATTTGACAGAACGTTGGAAAAGAGGAACAATGATGGATTATATATCCATAACAGAAGTCTGACCAAATTTAAGCAGGAATGGCTTCCTTATATACTACACATTACACAACAGAGCAAATTTAGACATTTGGAATATAGTTGCTAGGAAATAAGATGTGAGACCAATTTAAAAAAAAAAACTAGACAAAAGGATTTAAACAGATATTAGCAATAATCTTCAATGTTCAGTGTAAAGTATAAATATCTAAGTTGTGGTCAGCAGTTGGGAAAACAAAGGGAAGGGACGGGGGAAAGTGTCACTAGAAAGTCTTTCCATAACGTTTTTATTTATGCTTAATAGTTGTTCCTCTTTGTTTTATTCTATTGTCTGTTGTCATTATGTAATGTAGACTTTTTTTGTTTGTATTTTACTATTCTAGCAGGAAGAACGTATATTTTAAAAAGAATATTCCTACTACTAAGAATTTTACTCTTCTTTTTTAGGTGTGAATCTGGATACACAGGACAACATTGTGAAAAAACAGACTTTAGTATACTTTATGTTGTCCCGAGTAGACAAAAGCTCACTCACGTCCTTATTGCAGCAATAATTGGAGCTGTCCAGATTGCCATTATAGTTGCGATTGTTATGTGTATAACCCGGTAAGCTCACAGGCAGAAAATAACAAGGGGTACCTTTTGGTGTTTCTTGGTTTTTATTTTGTTAAGCTCACTATTCATACCTTCCCACCTTCTCTCTTCATGGATTGTTGAGATAATAAGTGCTTTTGTTACCTGACAAGTGTTGTCTCTTTCACTTCACTCTCTTTCCATGGAAGTGGGTGTATATGTGTGAACACACTTATACACATTCTGAGTCTATATATAGTAAGTGCATGTGTTCTATTATTAACAAGGTAAAATATTTAGGTAAGTTTTCTTGATGTAAATGTCACAAGATGCCACAGTCCTATAATCAAACTTCTACATGTAGGAAGATTTTTGAATTAGAGCTCAGCGCAAATGGCCTTTCAAAATTGTTTACCAAATTTATGGACAGAGGAAAGGGGAAAGAGAAATTCTCCAGCAATTTGTCAAAACTAGGACTCCCCCTTAGTGGTGACAGCTGCATTGCTATTGAAAACAGGCAAAGGGAGGAATTCTTTCCCCAAGTTTTCCTGGGATTAATTGAAGCATAGGATGCAAATCACTGGAGACAGAGTTATATAAGGAAAGATACAGTTATATAAAGAAAATGAGCATTTACTCCTTGGCCACCTTGTAATTAAATAAGTGCAAGAATGCCACATAAGAATTTCTTATTTGAAATAATTTTGAAAACAGATGCTCTTTCACCAAAATGAATGAAAACTCAGGGGAAAAATTGAGAATTTCTCGCTCTGGCACTAGCCTGCATCCACAATAGTATGTTGGCATTAAGGTCTGAATCCATCAATACTGTAATGGCATCAACTCATTTCCTATCTGCTCACCGTCCTATCTGCCTGTCCCCCTTTCTGTATCATCGATCTCAAACTGCTAAAATGTTTTTACAAGGAGGCATGTTGGCTTCATTCATCTCAGTTATTTCTAGGGGTGGAATAAGTACAGCAAAGAAATAGAAGGGAAATCAGGCTCTGGAATATGATATACATGCCAGCCCTTGTTCCTTTAATCCATGCTATGGCTTAAAATACTTCTACAGGATTGCTGCTTGCTCATCCACGCCCATGTCAAAGATAGATTCTCTGTGGCCCTATTTACACTCACAGGATGAATTCCAATTCCTCACGGTGAAGGAACAATTTGAACCTCTCCTCTCCATCTGTGTGTATCATTTACTATGTGCTTGGATCGCCATATAATATCCCACTTTGAGTACAGGGCTATCAAGAATGCCTACTCACATATGAAGTTGTAGATGCCTACTCATTTGTTAGTTGACTTGCTTGGCATGCAGGACTGAAGGAGAAGGCCTCTCCTCCATCTTGCAAAGTAGTAACCATTTTAATGGAATTATAAACTGGGTTTATGTGCCTTAGAGAGCCAGTTTGGTGTAATGGTTCAGGCACCTGGCAAGAAATCAGGAGACCGTGAGTTCTAGTCCCACCTTAGGCACAAAGCCAGCTGGGTGACCTTGGGCCATTCATTTTCTCTCAGCCCTAGGAAGGAGGCAAGGGCAAGCCACTTCTGAAAAACCTGGCCAAGAAAACTGCAGGGACTTGTTCAGGCAATTGCCAGGAGCCAACACTGACTCAAAGGCACACGCATACACACACACGTACCTTACCTATTCTCAAATGTTGTGTTTATTGTTTCCTTGTATAGTTTGCATAGCTTTTCAAAACCAAGAAAAACCAATCTCTTACATCAGTCAACCTGCAGGACAATAACTGTGCTCAAAATAATTTCCTGCTTTATATTCCCAAAGCTTTATCCCACAGCATTAACAAAATATTATTCGAAGGTCAGCACTTGCTTGGCTGGATGACATATCATGGCCAACATAAGCGATAAATTCCCCAATACAGACTGCCTCCAGTTGCTGAAATTACCCCAGAGCCAGTGAGTGTGAGAAGTCCCCCACAGCTGGAATGGGCTTCCTATCTTTTTAGAATTCTCTTGGCTTCTCTTCTTTGATAGATGATAGCGAATAGACCGTGTTCTAGCAACAAACTCAGAGTGGGCTAATAATAAAGAAATTAGTTTGGAAAAGCCTTTTGAAGTTGTTCAGTAAAGCAAAATAAAATTATGTTTCATTTTTCATTCTGCTGATATACTGAAGTGAAGCAGTGTTACAAGCTTTTCAGCAATAAGGCTTTCCAGAAAATGAGTTAAAGGATCAGATTTGCTATACGCAATAAATGCATTTATTTGCCCATAAACCCTAATAGAAGTAATAAAGTACGTGTGTGTATTGTCCAAATATAGTTAGAGGTGTTATCTTAGATAGATTTGTTCACTTTATGTTCTACGCATACATATTCATACGTATTCAAAAGTAAGTCCCACTGAGTTATATGGAGCTTAATCTCAAGTAAATGTAAATAGGATTACAACCTTTGATGATAAGCTTTTGATCTTGGTTTCTTATCCTGGCACTTAACCATCAGTACTCTGTTACTGTTTGGAACACTGTTGTAGCCAAACAAGGTTATCAAGAGAGAGGGAGAAAGAGGATATCCAGCAAAGCTAGTGAGCTTTAATTATGGTTAAGTATGCCGAGCATGATTCACAGTGGCTTTTTGATTAAGAGAATCTTAATTTTCCTCCTGGCATGTTTTGTTTGTTCTCATTGTGCATGCCCATTTACAGGTCCCCCAGATAATTCCAAGCATGAAGGAAGGGGAACCTAGTTTCTTGCATCTTGGGTTCATGAAACTGTGCCATGACAAGTGTGTAATATGGAAATTCCAAATTAGGAGCTGGCATCAGGTTCTACATTATGACTGCATCAAGTTCTCCATTCAAATGTATTCTTTGTAGAAGTTTTACATTAAATGTATGTACCCAAAAGAAATACTAGTTGTCCCTCCCCCCCAATAATGAATGTTTAAAAGTATTGTTTTCATCTGTCACAGGCCATAAGGACTATGTTAGTGACATCAGTGGAAGAGGCAGGGATGGAATTCTTAGCTATAGTATTGCCATTTATTTGTTAATTAATTAATTCATTCATTCATTCAATATTGACATTGTATCTTCCTTTCTATTTGTTCTGACATGCAAGCATTTTAACTTGGGGGTTTCCTTGGGGGGGAGTAAAATACTTGGTATA